ATAAAAATGCAGAAAAAGAACTCGGCCAATATCCAACCATCTTGACCTCACGCTTGGTTAATAGCGCATATTTGTTTAGCATCCTTATCCCAGAGCAACCTTGGAACAGATTAATAAACTCCTCTTCTGTTAATTCTTAAGCAGGTTTGAATGATGACTGCTGACAATGCCTATTAAGCTATGATTGCCGTCTGAATGTTATGCAACACTATACGGAAGTCAAGAGTAAGGGGCAAACTATTTTTAGCAACTTGCTCATACGCAAGCAACAGATGATTAAAATATACAGACACGGGGAAACGAATAAGGAAACTGATAAAATAGCAGATCAATTAAAAGGGAAAGCTGGTTAACAGAGCTTAAAACATCTCAGTAATATCTGATCCCCCAGAGTGCATACATTGAGGAAAACTAGAACTTCACAGTGCCATTTTTGGCACGCAATTTCACCGCGAGAAAAGCATTCAGCCGGAAATTAAACAATATTGGAACTTGGCTCATGTAAAAACTCTAGAAATTCCGTCTTGAAGTACTTACCCATCTCTGAAGACTCAGAGATGCTGTCAGTCCAAGTGCTCTTGCCTAGTGATCGAAAGGCATTGATTGTCAGACAAAGCAAAACCAATTCAACCGGACAGCACGACGCGTATGATGGTCTCTACGTAAATAAGCGCTGAACAGGTTAATTGGCCGATTTTTATACCTGTCTGATGGGCTTATTGTCTTTATCTGGACTGAAATTGTGGAATTACAAAGTACGTAGTCCTCCCTGTATCGAAACTTCCGCGCAGTGTTGTGTACTATTTTCCGCTTATGTGCCGAATTTACTTTGGCAAACTTATCTTCTGTGCACGAACCCCTGCCACAAAATCTGCAAGTGACAAATGGAATGATAAACACCAGCTGTTTCTTCGCAAGGCGACCGCTAGTTGCAATGAAATGATCAAAGTGGAGCTGTGTGCTCAGACTTGTAAGGCAATTGAAGCTCATAAGAAAGTTATTTCCTCACCACTTTGAAGCTATGACGTCAGTAGTGGACTGCCAACACTCCACAATTTTTAAAAGTAGCTTTGTCAAAGCCTTATCACAATGTGGAGCTCAGGAAAATTTTAATCAGCACAGAGTAAAGCTTAAGCTGTGTTCAGACTTGTAAATCCAAGGCATTTCATTTTGAAACTTAATGAAAGTAATTTCCTGGATGCTTCGAAGCTATATATGACGTCAAATCAAGTTATAAAAATAGCTTTGGGAAATGCTGGTAGGGGTTTTCAGATATGTTAATTATGGGAAAAAAGATTAAAGTATTTATTAGACATGCTGCTCAAAGTCCCTCCAACGTCGTCACATTTAATTTTTGTCCCCTCTCCACTTTATTAATTAATTTACAATGATTAAAGTGAATCTAGACTGATTGAGTATGTCAGTTTGTACAAAGAATGGTAATACAGTATCAGGTCTCGAGTGTTTTAAATATGTTTTGCTCTTCCTAATTTGACAAGTTTCCAGTTGTTAATCCACTATGTTTTTAAAGCTCAGTTGTTGCAGCATGCCTTTATTTGTGCGGGAAACTTTCCAGGCTCTCCAGTCAGTGACTAAGGCTCATAAGTAATAAATTTAACCATCCTTTTTTGTGAATAGTTCTCATTACGTACTTTAATTCTAAATAGAAATGAGATATTTATATGAACGTGTGTACGTTAAGGACAAAGAGCTTAATGGTTTATTCGTTTCACAAATTTCTGTACATGATGAAAAAAACAACAACGACAGTAAATTGTTGCAATCGAAAAAAAATTTTGTTCTACAGTTTTTTATTCGATAGGAAGATGTGGTCGACTTTGTCACAAATTTATGCAGGTCAAAACTAAGGTGAGATATAAAGATAATTGATCTAATTACCTCTGCGGAAACATGATCTCTGCATACAACTGACGTGGTATACCTGCAGCCTCCAAAACTGAACGAGATTGCAACATATGCATCACCACACTGTTACAACGCCAGCATCATCATCAAAACGTTTGTTCGTGCGTAAAACCTAAGTCATTAAATTCTTTTTTAAAGCTGACCAGCCAGCTAAAGCCGACGCTTAGCCTCCTCACGTCCGTAGAAGAGAATTATGACACTTTTGACCGAGAATAACTATTAATCGTGGAATTCTTGAGCCTTTTTGCTGATACGAAGTCCAAGCGCCAAGAACAAAGAGATCAATGTCATAATAAGGCTGACAGTACAACTAATGCTGACTCCCACGAATCACTTTTCTGTAGAGAGCAACGATTGGTCTGTTTGGTTTTTTGTTCTGATTACTATCCCGGACTGACTTTTTTTCGCGTACAATTTGGGATGAATAAGCCCTTGTAAATTTTTAAAAAGACTGACAAAATTGCATAAGCCCGTTGTATGATCCGCAAACTCGAAAGACAACAACACCGAGATGAATACTCTGACCCCTAATTTGGACTCGTCACGCAACACTCACTCTCCCACGTCGTTGTGTGACAAGACCAAACAACGACCTGCTCGTAAGCTATGATAATGCTTACTGCCTCTCCTTCGTCACAAGCAAAGTCTTAATTATTATTCTGGCCGTTAAAGGCCAGAAGCAGAAATTCCGTTTGGGTTTTCCTGTGCAGGAAAATGCGCCTTGTCCCCAATAAGTGCCCTCATTTGGGGTACCAAGAGTAAATTAGGGCCCGCCCGGCCCGGACGCTAAATGGAATCATAAGGGGACATGTTACTTAAAATAATTTTCAGTCATGTAACAATCGTTAGTTTATTTGTCTTAGCTCTTTTAATGCATTTACATCTGTATACTTTTTAAGTCTAAATTCTCGTGCGGGTTGGGCGTCTCGCATGGTCTCAGTGTCCCGTTCGCGTCAAAAAAGACAGGTCTTTAACATTGATTTACAAGTCTTAAATGTCTCTCAGCTAACTACTACAATGTGACTTAGTTTGCTAATACTGACTTTATGCGTTTGGTAGATTTTCGACGACCAGTCACCTAGTGTTATGTGCAATTTAACTATCTTTCCTAAACCATTCAAGAATTCCTGTGATTTATTGGCGAATAGGACATAAGGCGACACAGATTTTCTTCGCTTCCTTTTTTTCCGCTAAGGGTCTTCTTTGCAGTCTTTTTGATCTGTAAGAGAAGAATCATTTACTCCATGGCAAATAATGTAGAGGCACCATATGATGGAACCAATTGACAGGACTGATATTGGAAAAGGAGGAATGGTGTTTAACTTATTCGGTTTCTCTTTTTTACTATTTCTCACTCGATAACTTTATGAAACCATTTATTTTTTAGATATTCACTCGATAGAATTGCCAGTTCATTGACGTTTCTTAGTCCTCAAAAGCCAGCAAACAGACAGAAAAAATAGAAAGTTTTTGCCAGAATTTTCCCCAGTTGAGTTACAAAGTGAGCCAGAGTATATCGGATATAAATCGATCTGTCACAAGCAATTTCCCAAATTTTCCATAACCTCCCCTGATAATTTGTTACGTTTGTACTCCCAGATACAGAGGGGTGTTGTGGGGGTAAAATGGTGAGACCGACTGGATCCTCTACCCGGACCATTAGAGAATTAATTTAACAGCTTACGGGACCTACTTTAGTAAAATACGTTCCAAACTTTTCATCCTCTCTCGTTGTTTCTGTCACTGGACTGGCAATCTGTTCACCTGGCCTGGCCTTAGGTTTGGACCTGGCGACTGGGTCTGTACATTGTCGTCTCAATTCCTATACAGCAGAGTAAAAAAATGTTCTGTTAAGAATGAATAAGGTCATGTCTTCAAGGCTGCCAAACGTCAAAAACGGCATGCAAACAAGGGTGGATCCGTAAATTTTTTGATAGGTAGGTCCAAAGTTTCATTCCGAAAATACAGTTTTTCCGCTAGAGCTTTAATGAGCAAGAGATATCTTAAGATAAGCGAAACTGAAATATTTAAACTTGATTGATAATACGCGATCCTATCGCTGGAAAAACTTTGAGAGGTGATTAAAATACCCAGAGGTCACGTGGGTAGCCCGCTGGATCCTCTTGACCGCTAATCTAAATCTGCTATTAGGTAAGTTCTCAAAGCGGCGAAGACCAGAAAAGAAACAAAGGAACAAGCAGTTTTCAGATCAAACAAAGAGTGGATGGAAATAAATATGTAAAAGAATTTCATCTTAGGAGAGCTTTATTTCTCAACCTCAACGTTTTTTGGAGAGCAATTTGTTAACTTCATTCATAAGCTCAACATTTACCTTTTCCCAATGACATGTCTTTCCGGGGACTCCACATCCAA